TCTATACTAATACTGCGGGGAAGTTTGTATCTGTTAATTCAATACCAGCAAATATTAAGTAGATAGTCCAGCACTAAACATCCTCCAAATAAATTCATTGTTTATGCCATCTTTCCCTTTTTTTTTATTTTTTACTAATAAAGCAAATAGTGCTTCTGGTCGTCCGTCATAAAACATACCCTCGAAGTTGGCAAAATTTACCCACCAATGCCACCCGTAAGTGGCAAAAAACGGTTCACGCATCGCACTGTTAGTTCGGTTTATATAAGCCGAGATCCCCTAATAAAACACGAAGATGGCTCAGCGCAGTGGCCAGCGCTGCACGCTTCCACCACAGATACCAGGGTTCGATCCCCGCCTGCCCACCTTTTATCTCTTCTTTTTCGTCTCGCAAGCGCGCCTACTCCTCCCGCACACATAGGCCGGCCCATGTGCAGGTTGCAACGCCCCTGCTTTTATTTCATTTTTTGCCTTTCACGTTCTTATTTCTGTTTTAGTTTTTTCTTCTTTAAATTTTTTCGTGATTTCCAGGAAAAAAATATTTCAAAAAAAGTCTTGAAAAATTATAAACTGTTTGTGACTTAAAAAAAATTCGGAAAATCATAAAATGATCATGATTTCAAAAAATTGTTCACATATTATAAAAAACTATCACGGTTTCAAATAAATTTTCAGGAAATAAAAAATGTTCATGATTTTTAAAAAATATCCAGTATTGAAAACATATTAGGGAATTTAAAAAATGTCCATTAAAGTTTGGAATATGTTCACAAAAATTAAAACAGATCCATAAATAATGAACATAATGAACCATCGCAGGAGATCTGTAGGGGTCGCTTCATGATTGTATTCAGTCCCCTGCTTTTATTTCATTTTTTGCCTTTCACGTTCTTATTTCTGTTTTAGTTTTTTCTTCTTTAAATTTATTCGTGATTTCCAGGAAAAAAATATTTCAAAAAAAGTCTTGAAAAATTATAAACTGTTTGTGAATTAAAAAAAACATTCGGAAAATCATAAAATGATCATGATTTCAAAAAATTGTTCACATATTATAAAAAACTATCACGGTTTCAAATAAATTTTCAGGAAATAAAAAATGTTCATGATTTTTTAAAAATATCCAGTATTCAAAACATATTAGGGAATTTAAAAAATGTCCATTAAAGTTTGGAATATGTTCACAAAAATTAAAACAGATCCATAAATAATGAACATAATGAACCATCGCAGGAGATCTGTAGGGGTCGCTTCATGATTGTATTCAGTCCCTCGATTTGGATAAAAAAAGTTTTCCATATCTTGTACACCGTTGAACCCTCAAAAATTGACACAACTTTCTAAGGGTTAATTTTTGTAAGCTATATAAAAATGACTAAATTTCTATTTTGCCTTCATACACAGCTATATTTTTTATACCACATTACTAATTATTATAAACACCGCTACGCTAGGTCAAGGCAAGGCACTCACTCATCGGTCTAGCTCATGCAGTGTCCATCAATGCAGTTTTATCACCGACATTTTTTTCGTTATGACGCGCCTACTCCTCCCGCACACATAGGCCGGCCCATTTGCAGGTTGCAACGCCCCTGCTTTTATTTCATTTTTTGCCTTTCACGTTCTTATTTCTGTTTTAGTTTTTTCTTTTTTAAATTTATTCGTGATTTCCAGGAAAAAAATATTTCAGAAAAAGTCTTGAAAAATTATAAACTGTTTGTGAATTAAAAAAACATTCGGAAAATCATAAAATGATCATGATTTCAAAAAATTGTTCACATATTATAAAAAACTATCACGGTTTCAAATAAATTTTCAGGAAACAAAAAATGTTCATGATTTTTTAAAAATATCCAGTATTCAAAACATATTAGGGAATTTAAAAAATGTCCATTAAAGTTTGGAATATGTTCACAAAAATTAAAACAGATCCATAAATAATGAACATAATGAACCGTCGCAGGAGATCTGTAGGGGTCGCTTCATGATTGTATTCATTCCCTCGATTTGGATAAAAAAAAGTTTTCCATGTCTTGTACACCGTTGAACCCTCAAAAATTGACACAACTTTCTAAGGGTTAATTTTTGTAAGCTATATAAAAATGACTAAATTTCTATTTTGCCTTCATACACAGCTATATTTTTTATACCACATTACTAATTATTATAAACACCGCTATGCTAGGTCAAGGCAAGGCACTCACTCATCGGTCTAGCTCATGCAGTGTCCATCAATGCAGTTTTATCACCGACATTTTTTTCGTTATGACGCGTTAGAAAATCAAGTCGTGATGAGACCATCACATTTTTTATTTTTAAAATGACTTTTTAAAAGTCTCTTATCTCGTCATGACATCACCCAGACATACTTTATGAAATTACATTCTAAAAGTCCTTATCTCATCCTGGCATTTGGTTCATAATTTTTTTCTATCTATCGCACGTGCATAATTTAATAGCTTTTCTCCCGTTGCAACGCACGGGCATATTTGCTAGTAAAACTCTATATGTTTCGCGCTTCAGTGATCAACAATTTAGCCACGTTCGAACATGCCAAAAAATCTGTAGTACTCATTGACCTAAGATAATTAAATGTCATCGAGGTTCTTAAGTTTCTTTTTTTCTTTTTTGGAAGAGGTTCTAAAATTAGTTAGCTAATCTTGAGGTCTAAAAAGAAACTAGCTAATCTAACTGCTAACTCTTTTTTACGGGAATCTAACTACTAACTTGATCTACCAGATGAAAATTATGTCAGACATTTGTCTTCAAATTTCTATGCATGCATGTTTCCAAAAAGACATGTATAAAGACACGTATAATAAATAATAAATAAATAAATAAGGATCATAAGGTAGTTACAGGTATATATTGTGATGCTATTGAAATTAACCTCCAAAAATTCTACTCCCTCTAGTGTAGTGTCAAAAAACGTCTTACATTATGGAACGGAGGGAGTAAATAATAAATTTATAAGTTGAAAACAGATTTTCGAAACATAATGCATGATGTTTGGTGATTAGTTGATTACCTGCTTGAAGAATGCACAAACCGAGTGCTCAGGTGAGAACTGCTTTAGCTCCAATGATTGGTAAGTGTGCCCGATGCTCAAGCTTGCAATCTCGAACTGCTGTGTGGACACGATGATCCAGCTGCCGTTCTTCATGTCAGGAAGGAACGTCCTGACAGCATCCCAATCCAGCATGTGGTTCAGGTTCTCCAGGACGACAAGGTATGTCTTGGTGTTGACTTCCTGCACAAATTCCTCGACCAGATCTTCTTGCCGGGCCTCCATTTTCTTGAGGACGTGCGCACCTACACGTGCTCCTTGTTTCTCGCAAGTATTTGTGTAGACCTGAGCCATGAAGCGGCGAACAAACTCATGGGGATTGAAAGGATGCATGAGCTTCACCCATGCGCGGCAGGCGAAGTTCCGACAGATTTCTGGGTCATTGTAGGCCTTCCTGATGATGGAGGTTGTCCCAAGATCGCCGCCTGTCCCCCACACCGAGATCACCTGAAGCTGAGGGTCCTTATTGTCTTTGTTAGTGACCAGCTGGGTTAGATCCCCTATGCCGCGTTGCCTCCTCGCCGCATCACTTTCCTTGGCGAGCATGTTGGATGATGTCGCGCCGGTGGCCCTGCTAGATGCTTCTTGTTGTTGTTGCGGCATGACGATGAGTTTGGAGACAGCGGCAGGCTCGCTGATATTGCTGTAGCGGGAGTAGCACTCGCTCAACTCCTTGGCCCTGCCCTTGAGCTCCTCTATCTCCGTCACCGCCTGGTCCAGTGGCAGCGGGCCTATTATGCACACTGGGAGCAACCGGCGCCAGAAGATTGGCTTGTCATCCAAATGGACGACCAACTCGACGCAGTCTTCCAGGTCGTAGGCCAGTTCACGGACATGCTTCACCCAGGTCCTCACCAAATTGTTCATGGCCCTCTCGCTGTTGGCCATGTTGAGAAAGGACTGCATCATCTCGAACTCCAAAGCTATTGTCACCAGATCACGCTGCGCCTTTTGCCGGAGCTTGTTGTCCTCCTCGATCACCGACTGGACCTTGGTCAGCGCCCCCGCCACCACCGTCTTGGACAACCCAACCGCTAGGTCCGCCATGGCTGCCTCCTCCCTAATCTAGCTCTCTCCAAATGTCAGACGGGGCCGAGCGAGCGACGTTGCAAATTAAATCAAGCAAGAATCGATCCATTCGTTCCTCACCTGGCTTAGAACTCCCGAGCGATGCGCGCGACGCCGGAAGTCCTCTCTGTGCGAAAGGGTAAGGTGTCTCCCCCTGTCTCTCACGTGCCGCCAGATCTGACTGGCTACACTGGCGCCGTACGTCAGGGGCGAAGGACAGCGGCTCCCCGGCGGCCGCAGCTGCGATGGATACGGTGGACGAGCTGGCCGTGGTCACAGCAGCTAGGAGGGGGAAAGAGAGACCAGTGAGTCAGTCAGTCAATGCCTGCTCTCCGGTGGGCGTGGCAGGCGGAATGGCAGGCAGCTACTTGAACACCGGAGAGGGAAGGGAAAAAGGACTTTTATCAAGAGAGCGTGGTGTGGAAGACCAAGGGTGGAGACTTTATCATGCCTAACCATATGATTAACTCTTTATTTTCTTGCAGTATCATTCTTAGCATCATGTAGTGGAACGCTGCTTTATCAACTTGTATGTTGATCTAGTGGAACGCGGCTTTATGTAACTTTCACGGTCGGCCACCGTGATGATTTGGATAGCCACCTACCGAAATTGTTCTTCTTTAAAACACAGCATATAGACGCAAACACTTGTAACACACACGCATACTCATCCCTGTAAATACAAAAATGCTACACCTAGGTAAAGCTACGCAGGC